GGGGGGGGGGGGGGGGGGTAATATTTTGAAGCTTAGGACTTCTTAGAGGGGAGAGCTTTTTGTCCCTCAGCCCCAGAATGAGGGTCTGATATTAGTTGATCTCCTTGTTATTCAGGTCTTGCTTCTATTCAAGCTTTATCTGCCTGTAACTACCCCTAGTCAGTTTTGGCTGATTCCCTACACAGGCACACACACACACACAAAAGATGTAACAGCTACTTGAAAAAAACACCCCTCTCCAAAAATCATGGCAAACTCCTGCATATTGACCAAGAAAACTACATAGATGTGTGAATGCGGTCACCAGGAGATGAACTTCACTCAAAGGAGAACATAATTTATTCATGTTGTTATTTATTACAATACTTACATACCACCAGGCTCAAACCAACTCTTCCCATTATCTTTGTCCCATCAGAAGAAAGCAAATACTCAGGTGTCTTAAGCAAACACCAGAAGAAGCCAAATACTTGTTTGCACTGAGTGGGGATTTTCACTGTGCAGCACACATTTTGATGGTGGCAGAGCGGATCAGCAGTTTAGCAGGCCAGAACATCTCAAGAAGAACTCTGGTAGAATCCTTGACATGTGACAGTAATTCAAATCCTTAGTAGTCATTTTCATGCATAAACTGGCAGTTAAGTCCGAGAGATCTTGCCAGGCTACATCCAGACTCTTATTTAAAACTTAGAAGCTGGCAGGCACAGATTCAGAGATGGTTCTTTCATAAGCTAGTCAATTACAGATCCTGGAAAAGCCCTAATTAGAGCTGAAAACTGTACGCCATAAAGCAGATCTATAGCAGTCCCAGGTTTCACATCTCACACCTCCTCCTTCTGCTTGTGCCCCCTGACAAACCAGAAGCAGGTTATTTCTCACGGTAGGAGTACAGGACCTCTGTGCATTTTTATTTGAACAGACCTGCCAGGTGGCAGGACCTTTGCACCTGATCTTGGCCTTTCTAGTTAGCATGGATCTGGAAGAAACAGATAGAGGAGCCTCTTCTGGCTGAGGCTGCAGCCAGCCAGTTCCTGAGATGACCTTTCTGGGTTTGATGAACAAAAAAAAAAATCTGAGATCGACCACATACGATGAAGTCCCAGACTGCTTATCCTTTGTTTATTAAATTAACAACGCTTGATTAAGTTCACCCATCATGCTAAAGCATTAACCATCATTATCAAATCTGAATGGCTGAGTCATGCAACACATCAGCCAAAACCAAAGGCTGCACAGTATTAAGTAACTTAGGCATGAAAGCCAGCTGGGTGACCTTGGGTAAGTAAGTCCCTCCTTTCATCCTATTCAGGACAAGTAAAGACCTGGATGGCCCAGTGGGGAGGCCTGGCAGGTAAAGTGGAGCTATAGGAGTACTTTGGATTCATGCTGTCCTTAGGCCTGGCTAAAACTCATGCCAACTGGGCATGAAATTCAGCTGCAAATCACAGAAATACTCTCTGCTCCAGGCACAGCCTGGCCGCATCTTCATGCCATACTTAAGCAGGTCAGCATCAGAATCCTCCCAAATCAAATCAAATCAAATCAAATCATAATTGGGACTGAAAACAAAACATGTTTTCAGCCTTCTAATTCGCATGATGTAATAAGACAAAGACAAGAATTCCAACAAGTACTTTTGGGTCCAAATGTGAAGCTTATCTAGGCAAGTCAGACTGTGAACTTCTAGTTTTCTTTGTTTGGGTGAAGGGAGGGAAGAAGCTTGTCTCTTCTGAGCAAATGAGAAGGTCTGAACCAGGATAAGGTTTATTAAATTAACAACACTTCGTTGTTAATTTAAATTGGCTGCTTGTCTCGGTACGGGAAATCCACAATCAGTGAAAGAGCTAGAAGCTGCATTCCTACACGATGCGAAACTTGGTTAGTGTTAAGCTTAGCTAAGGCTTCTTAAGTTTAGGAAGCTGGGTGAGTCTGCTCTCTCTAGTTAGCTTATGCTTCATTGGGTATGGAAAACCAAAAAGTGGGCTAATTTAGCTTGCTCTGTGATGGAAAACAATAGAGTGGTGAAAATCTATCCCACTGCACACTAATGATTCCTCTTCTTCTTCTCTGTAAATCCTGGCAGCTTCAGAACTCTATTTCCATTGTTTCTGAGCATGCACAGAGAGGTTGGCCCTCACCAGAGGGTCACTGCAAGTCACCACCATGGACAAACAGTGGGAGATGGAAAGATACAGTGGTACCTCTAGTTACGAACTTAATCCATTCCATGACTCTGGTTGCAACTCGAGTTGGTCTCAAGTTGAGGTA